CAAGACAATGAAATGACAAAAGACATGGCAGCCATGTTGGATGATAGAAGTAGTTTGTAAACATTCCAAGAGAATGAAACGACAAAAGACATGGCAGCCGTGTTGGATGATAGAAGTAGTTTGTAAACATTCACAAGAGAATGAAAYGACAAARGACATGGCAGCCATGTTGGATGATAGAAGTAGTTTGAAATGGAGAACCAGGCTTGTTTTCATGTTTTTTGGTTCATATTACTGTTTGTGACTCTACGGATATTTGTCTTATTACTTTGATACATTTACTAATTCACTCGTGGTCATTCAGTTGGCAATAAAATAATTCTCCAATCAAGTAAATAATTTATGCCACAACTTTATAAGGTCTATCAGTCAAAAATCACATAAAATCTAATTGACAATTACTAGAATTTGTCTGGAAGTGAATAAATTGAAAAAGAATATTATTGTTCAACACCCCTTAGACTTTCAAATTCTCAGTTCCCAAGGCTTAGCCTTGATTTTGTGAATGATATTCTGAATTTGTTTCAGTGAAAGTTTGCAGAATTTAAAAGTGCTTTTATTGTTTAATTTGCGCATTTGTCCATACTTCATCAATGGTGATTGTCAATATTTTATTCATTAATGAGACTAACCCTTAGTGGACAAGTCTGTAATCGAGGAAAATGGCAGCAAAGTAGAAATTTGAAAAAGTCTTGCAAAATTTCTAGTTCTAAAATTCACTATCTATGGAGATTACTCATCTTCGTCTTCCCATTCTGAGCCCGTTTCACTTTCGTCTTCACTAGAAGAATATTCAACAGCTATACGCCTGGCGAGGATGGTCGCAACATCCATTGTATTGTCCTCTTTCTCTTTAACCTTCTTCTTCTCCTGCCCCTGGGTCTTCCGTAGCGCCATGCCCTGCCGTATAGCAGCTAACAGGTCACTCCTACTGTCTACCTCCTCTGACGGCATAGGAGCTTCACCAATACTAGACTCAGATGTTGTTAAAGACATTGATGAGGGGGATACAGTTGGCATGGAACCAACAGATTGTTGTGATGCAACTGAAGCTGACGATGCAGACCCTCTGAGATTTGGGCCATGGCCAGGTGTTGGTGGGGGTGGTGGGGGCGGCGGTGCAGGCACTCCTGCAGGAAGAGGTGGAGGGGGAGGGACTCCTGTAGTGCTATGTGTTGGTGAGGTATTCACAGATCCTGGCATAGGAGGAGGCGGTGGGGGAGCCGATGTAGGTCTGTTTACATTCTGAGAACTGGTATATCTTCGTGATGTTCTCTTACTTCCTGGAGAAACTTGCTGTTGTCCTTGAGGAAGGCTGATTAATTCAGTTGTTCCCTTACCACTAGGAACGTCTCCATTTTCTTTCCTTTCATTTTGATCATAATGCGTTTCTTTTTGTGGGCTGCCATCTTCAGGGGCACGAATGTGTTTCGTTGCATTCATATTTGGACTTTTGAATTCCTCTCCCTGTGGACAGAAATTTTTTCTCTTGATTGCTTTGACAGGTGCTTTGGTCTGCGTTCGTGTTCTAACACGTCCTTTGTTCTGGAAAAAAGAAGAAAAAACATCATCAAAATTAGATCGGGATTTGGAGTCGGAAAAAGAAATAGACCTACTTTGCCATATGGGGCAACTGGGAATGCAAAGACCACACAGTTGAGGTGTGGGTTCTACCACCATGCCATCCTGACTCCCTACACTGGCTCTCTGGCTTCCCTCCATTAAAAATCAATGTGTCATGGGGGAATATAGAAGGTGGGGTGGGGGGGGGGGGGGGTAACTAGTACACCCGCTTTGAAATAAGGAAAAGATACTGTAAGACCTAGAAAGGATGCTATGTCATGCCTTTCTAGTTAGAAGTAACCCCCCTTGAAATCATTCTGGATCAACCACTGCATGTCTGTCAGAACAAAGTGTGTACACGACCTTAAAGTGAATTGATAAAACAATGTTWTACTGAACAATTCAAATATTACCTTTCTTTTCTTTTTCTTTTCAGTTTCCTTTTTCATTTCTTCGCACCAAAGTTCAAAGAAATATTTYGGATCTGTGTAAAATTTCAGTCCATCTTTATCGTCATCACGATATTGGTTCATCTCTGATAATTTTGGAGGTTCATCACATCTAAGGTAACGATCTTTCATCGTAGTTGGCAGCGTATTATTGGTTAGTACCTGCTGGTCGGTTACAATTGTACTTTTGAATGCTTTTCGCATATTAATGTCTTGTAATGATACTATGACAAAAAAGTGGAGAAATGTACATAAGTATTGTCATCATTAGAGCCCACCACAATGAAGGACGGATTTGGTATCTTGATTTTTTGGGGGG